AAAAATCATTTCCGAATAGATATTGAAAAGAATGGGAGATAATGGGCAGCTCTGCCGGACGCCTTTTTGTATTGGGATTGGGTCTGTCAGGTCGTTGTTATAGCAGAGCCGGGCTGTTTGATTCCAGTAGAGAGTGGTGATAAAGTTGATATCGTTAGTTTCAAGCCCAAGTTTTCTCAGTTGATTAATTAGGCGGCCGTGGTCCACTGAGTCAAAGGCTTTCTCATAGTCAATAAAACATATGTACACTTCTATTTGTAAGCAGAAAATTGCCTCTCTGGTGCCCAGCCCCCTGCAGAAGCCAAACTGTGTGTTTCCTAGTGCACGTTCGCATTTACATCTTATTCTTATATCAATATATCTTATTCTTATATCAATAATAATCATAGATAAAAAATTTAGAAAAAGTTTCCTATTAATAATCTAGAAAGTAATTTGAATGTTGACTCATTTTACAGTGATATTGGATTTAACAACTCCTCATGGCCTCATGATATAATGATCAACAGAGGTCTTGATTATTCTCTCACAAGCATAATACTATTTTATTATCAGTATAATCACTTTGTAAATGGTCATACTTTCATTATAGCAACCTTTCAGAATCATGAATCAATAAACTTTGGAGAAAATAAATGAATTTCTGACAGATATTCTGTTGATTTTTTTTAAACCTAAAGTTTGGCTTTTTTTCAATAACTTACATCATACAACGAACTCTTATTGATATAGACTTTATTACTGGATGTAGATATGCATTTCAGGTCTTAATGACCCTTCTTCAGTCCTTATACAGATTTTATTAAAATATATAATAGTTTAAAATTACATCACACATATGTGTTTACTTAGAATATTCTACAAAAAGTTTTACTTACTTTAGTTGATTATTGAATATAAATTGATATTAAAGTTGTGCAATTAATTGGATATATTATAAAAACCTTTATAAAATAAGCTGTATAAAATAAAGTTAAAGTAGATAAATAAAAATAAATAAAATTTTAAAAAATATATATTTTTAATTTATTTAAATTGCTTAAAACCTGTAGATGGGCAAAATTACAAGTTGGTGAATTTAAAATAAATTTTTAAAATTTGCAAAAAAGAAAATAAACTAAATTTAAAAAATGGGTTTAAAAGCTTTTTGAAAAAAGCCAAAATTTAGGCTTAAAAAATTCACAGAAACTGGTAATGGAAATGATGAATTAAAGATATTCTGTTGCTAACTATATTTAGCAACAGAATATAATCTATTTTCTTGTCTTTTGTTAGATATTCTCATTGTAGTCAATTAAGACTGCAAAAGCTTTGTTCTAGTTGCAAAACATGACTGGATATGCTGATCTTTGAATTTTTCCAATAGGGAACAGATAACTGATCCTGTTTATATGTAGTTGGCAATGTGTGTTGGGGATGGCAGGTGATAAGAACTAAGGATGCACCGATTAATCGGTTTCGATAATCGGCCAATTTTACATTTTGGTATTTTTGTTAGAATGTTACATACAATGCTAGTAATAAAAACTAATAAATTTCTGTTATACATTTATTATTTATTACATGACAATCTGAATATTAAAAAAAGTTTACTAATCAAATTATTCCTTTTATCGATACATATTATAAGTATAATATAACGTACAATATAAAGTTTAAACTTTACATAAGAAAAAGTATTGAATAGGTTAAGAAGAAAAATTAAATTTTTATTTGTTTCATAAGTTTAAAGTTTAAACATATAAAACAAATAAAAATTTAATATTTAAACTGTAAAACCCTTAAATTACAATTTAAGGGTTTTACAATGCAAAAACATGAGAATTTCATCATTTTCAGGGTATAACCTATTTTTTGCTGGCTCATAAATGTTACCTCCAATGCTGAAAATTTTTTCACTTTCAATGGAAGATGCTGAGGCACTTAAATATTTCATAACTATTTTGCTCAAATTAGAGATAAATGTAAATATGTTTCTAATTCTTGATTGAAACGTTTGTTTGTCTCTTTCATTTTTTTTTTTTCTTTTTAAAAACATGCTATTCTTCATTCTTTCGTTTACCAGAAGCTAATTCATCAAATAAATCAGAAAAACTTAGAAATGCACCTCCATCTTGATCACCTCCAGAAGTAGAAGCTTCAGAATTTAATTCTTATTGAGATTTCCTCTAGCATATTCTCTTTTTGAAATTTCATTTTGAATCTAATAAAAATGACAAGCATAAAGACTTGTTTTCTATATATGCTGAAAATATTTTTTTATTGGATTTTCTAGTTCTTCTGTTGTCGTATTAATGCCACTAAAGGAACTACTGATCTTTGCTTTTGATAAGAATAATTTCAGAGTCTCTATTGTGGGAATTATTGAAGATGAAATGGCTTCTCGTTTGCTGGCTTTCCACAGTAATTTCTTTGAATGGTAGAACAATTTTTTCAATGAGAGACCACTGATATGGGCTCAACGTAGGAATTTTATTATCTATAGTATATGTGACAAGGGTCTTTTGCTGTTCCAACATGTAGTATGTAGAATTCCAGCGAGTAGGAACATCTTGAATTAATTTGTGTTTCTGCAAACCTAACTTTTCTTGCAAATCTTCTAATTTGATTACAGCTACAGCAGAATGATTAAAATGTGTGACAATATTTCTATTAACTGTGATTATAGTTTTCACATCTTGTTTAGAAAATATGCATTCGTTTAGTGTCAGCTGCAGCGTATGATAATGCTTCTAAGTTGCAATTCCTAATTCCAGCTGCCAGATTTACTGCAGAATCTCTTAGTACTAAGAATATCTTATCACTTGTCAACTTATACTGTTCACTGATTCGTGTAGCTGTGTGGGAACCTTCAAAGGAAACAATTTGCAAAACAGCTGTTTCCTGCTGAAAATCATCCTTCAACCAGTGAGCTGTTACACTTTAAAAAGGAGAATTGTTTGTAGTTGCTGTCCAAATATCAGCGGTTAAAGAAATATATTTTGTTTCTGTTAAACACAGAAACACTTCAGCTTTTTAAACAATGTCGAAGTTTCCATGCGTCAATAATTAAATGTTGAAATTTATTTTAGAAACAAAGGAAGAGATTGTTGATTTTGCGAGGATATTCGATCGTCTCTTGTTTACCTGACCCGAGAGAGATGGAAATACCAGGTGGAGAAAAATGGGTTTTTTCCACATTATAATTAACTGTATAATAAACTCCAGGATCTCACACTATTAATGCAATAAATTATTAAAACTAATCGGCTGATTAATTGGTATCGGCCGATAATGCATGGCTGATTAATCTGTAATCGGCCATTTTGCTTATCGGTGCATCCTTAATAAGAACTCAGAGTATTATCATGTGACATCTGCAAAAATTACAGTGTATGAATACAAATAATTGTTACATTTTCTCCCAAGACATGACAATAGATAGATTTCAATAATAATAATAATAATAATAATATATTTTTGTTTTTATAAAGTTTCCGTCGGATGACAAACTTTTCTTTGCAAATAAAGACAGTTGTTCCAAAAATTCTTTTGAAAACCACCATTTTATTACGTGTTATAAAATAAAACTTTAAACGACCAGACCTTCCTTTATAGGCTACTCAGCCATCCAGTTAAAACATTCCTTAAATACACCAAAAAAATTATCCAATTAAAAATATAAATTTAAAAATTGGAACTGGTGTATCTTACAACATCTTCAGGTTTTCCATCCTGTTCCATCCTGTTCCATTCAGGAATTTCACCTTGACTGAATTAACTGGATGGTTGAGTAGCCTATAAAGGAAGGTCTGGTCGTCTAAAGTTTTATTTTATAACACGTAATAAAATAGTGGTTTTCAAAAGAATTTTTGGAATGACTGTGTCTTTATTTACAAAGAAAAATAAGAATAATAATATATTATTATTTTTATGTATCCTATATGGCCTAAATATAGTATGTAGTACTATGCAAGACCAAAATAAAGGTATAACTACAAAATAAAATTTTTATTTATGTGCTGTTTGTAATGTATTTATATTTAAGAATTTTCTGTGTGACTTCCACTGGAGACAAAAAAGTCATTTGTTCCCACTGCTTCAGACTTTTAAGAGTGGGCAAGTTGGAAATTTATGTTCTCTGTCTCATTCAATAGTACCCAGTAGTACATGAAAGCCAAGGGATAGTATAATTTTAAACAATAATTATTATAGAGGGAGTATATCCCATTTCCTCCATTTGGAAAAGTTTCAGCAGATGCTTTTGTATGTGACATGTGTTTAGTATGGTAGCTTATATAGTGTGATGTATGTGCTATTGTGAAGCTTTATATTTAGCTTTACAACAGATTTTTGTATTGTATATGATATGATTCCTGCACCAAAAAGGATTACTGGCATAATAACTATGCTATTCATCCTCCACAGATACTTTAGTTTCTGAAGGAATTCTAAGTATTTACTAATGTTTTTAGTAAGTACTGAATATATCAATACTGGAATGATATACATGTTGATTGCTTTAAATGTATGATTTGCATTAAGTTGTGTCATTAGTATTGAATTTAATATGCTGTTGTGTTCTTTTGTAGCCTCTATTTTTATTTGTGCATGTTCTGTGAGTTTGATCTGTAGGGATCCAAAATATTCATACATTTCATCCTCATCCATATTATTATTATTATGTTGGGTTTAGTGGGTTATACTCAGCTGACACCGGCGGCTGTGTACTATGCCGGACCAGAATCAAGGCATTATTATTATTATTAATTAACAAATGCAGGACACTTGACATAGAAAAAGGAATCTTGAAGAAAAATGATTTTGTACTCAAAAATGGAGATGTCATTGAATCCATAGATGAGGGCAAAGACCAACAAAAATGTTTTATTAAAGGTGTTTTGAATTAACAAATAAATATATTTTTATAAATTAATTAATTTTAAAAATAGATAAAATAATAATTATTGATGATAATTTTTGGATAAAAAATATAAATTCAACATTTTTGTCTTATTTAGGTTTGTGGGTGGACATAACTTTATGGATTTACCTGACGATGGTGTGGCAGTGCAAACAGATCTTCCTGTGGATAGTGAAGTTCCTGGATTAACTGATAGTGAAGATCCTATTGGACTAAATCTTTCTGAAGAAGAAATAAATTGTTCTAGAAATGAGAACAGTATCACTAATATACACTCTGATGAAGGGCTTTCAAATGACCCAGATGATCAATTGGACATGGGCATTTCCAAGAGAAAAAATATTCATGTATCAACAGGTATTCAAGTTCCATCTGAAATTGTTGTGATTGCAGGTGAAGGTAAAAAAATATTTTGAATTAGGATGTTGTTTCATAAATTTATATTATTTGAAAAACAGTTTAAAAAAATTATTTGCCAAAGTATGTTTCAAAATTATCCTATAGAATAAAACATTTTTGAATCATCTAGAACAGGGGTGTCCAACCTTTTTGTTTCTCTGGTCCACATTGGAAGAAGTCTTGGAGTTTTGGGCCACAAGTAATAATATATTATATATACTTGTAGCCCAAATCCTTAAATATACTTGTATATTTAATAATTAGCATGTCTAGATTATAGTAATAAGTATTAAAACTTTATCACGAAAAAGAATATTTTAAAAAATTACTTCTACAGACACTTCCAATTTATACTTAGAAATAGATAAATTCATTTATTGTAAAGGAAATGAACAAAAATTTGTTCAAAAATCACAGATATTTTTATTTGGGTCTCTAATAAAAAAAAACAATGAAACACCATTTTAAAATGCATTTTTATTCAACTAATATATTTATAAATAATATGTAGCACAACAAGTAGCCAATACACCAATTGATATTTTTTCTGCCAAACTAACAAAAGGGTAGCCATATTTGGCACAAAGCAGCCAAATCTTGCAATGCTGGAAAGAATACTAAATAAAGCTGGAGTTGGGACTCAAGGATTAGAAACCCAAACAAGGGGAAAGAGAGAAAGGACAAAAGATAAAGTGAGGAAGGTTGGAAAATTAAAGGTCAATATTTGCATAACAGAAGATCTATTTAACCTTTCTCACTACTTTATATCTTTTGGCCTTCCTCTCCTTTCCCCTAATTTGGGACTATACTCTTTGAGTCACTACTCCAGCTTTATTTAGTATTCCTTCCCCATTCACACCTTTCCAAGTATTTGAAAATATTTTCTTTTCACTCAAAAATAAAATATGTGTAAACTTTGTGAAACTTCTTTTTTTGAGTTTATGCCGTTGAAATAAATAAATAAAAAAAAATTAAAAAATTTGTCGGTTTTGTTTACACGGTTATTGGGCCGCATTGGAACTTGCCTTGGGCTGCATGCAGCCTGCGGGCTGGACACCCCTGACTTATAGCATTGCATTTATGCATTCAGAGAATTTTCTTAATCAAATTATACTTACATTAAGAATTTAAATTATTTTTGTCTTCTGTAATGTTGAATTGCAAAATGTAAATGTTAAAGTTACAAAGTGTAATTAAAGTCAATTTGTTATTCAGAAGTTGATCAATATAATACAGGGGTTAGTCAGAATGGTGTTGACAACTTTGACATTTTACACAGGCAGTAAGATGNTAAAATTGACAGCAACACTCAAAATAGACTGTAAAAAATACAGCTGCTGTTTGCTGTTATTAATGGACCTTTCAATGAATTACAGTACTTACATCTTAATACAAAATATACAGATTCTTATCTGAAAAATAATCAAATTATTAAAAAATTTTTTAGAACTTTGGGTGTTTTATTTATTTAAAATATTTAAAGTAACATTATTCTATACTTAGAATACATTTGATCATGTAATTTCTAAAACAGAGTTATAAAGAGTAAATAAATAATTTTTTAAGTATTCTAACATTTTGCTTTTTTTTTTTTTTTTCATTAAAATTTCTTAAATGTAATACAGATTAACAACTTGTGTACAAATTTTTAAAATTAAGTGAATTATAGATTTAAAAATATTAAAACTATTAAATTATTAACATTTTTATTTGTATATTAAAATTTTGGATAAAGTTCAAATTACATCTGGGTTTCATCCAAAACAAAATTTATAAATAAAAAAGTTTTTACTTAATTTGAAACTTATACATATATTTTTTTTCCATTATCAGTCTAATTTGTGGTTTCATTTTAATGAAAGAAAGATGATGATTGCAAGTCATATGTTAGTAATAATATTGGAGTATTCTAAAATTGTCTACAAAGGAGCCTGCTAATGAAAACAATGTGTTTCTAGTTAAAAAGAATTTTTATTAATAAATTCCAATTTTAGTAAAAATCTAGATGTGTGGATTTGGACTTCATCCAAATTTTTAACTTAGAGAATATTTTTAAATTACTGGTCCAAAAATATTAAAACAAATTACTATTTAATTAGTAATAATAGTAATATAAAATTTTATATACAAAGTAACTGTTAGTCTTTATTATATTTTAAAAACTTTTTAAACATATGTCATTGAATTAAGCTAAAAATATCTTAATTTAAAAAATAGATTCTTTTGTTTTTAGTTTAATTCTAGAAGTTGAAAAAATCAAATATAATTTGAATGTGAAGCCAAGTTTCTTCAAAACTTAAAATAAAATTATAAACTTATTAAAGACTGTCTTTTGTTACTTTTATTTCAATTTTTTTACTGATGATTTGAGTTTATTGATGAAATGAAAATTTAAATGGCTTTTATTTTATGGAAAAGAGATAAATAGTAAACTTATCTGTTTAACTTTTTAATGTGTAATTATCTGTTTGGATTAATTCAGTTTATCAAGTTATTTTTATTGCATGTGCTTAAAAAATATACTCCTATATAATCAAGTATTGCATGATATAAAATTCCAGAAAACTAAAGTGCCTGATAGTGGCCAAGTGGATAAAAACACTGCTAGTTAGTCATGGGTTTGTGCTTCATTAAGAAATTAGTCATGTGATATTTTCCAGGTTTTCTTCACATGTCTAACACCTAAATAGGGGCCAGTTTCCCATGGAAAGTCCCAGGAGGCACTCCCCTTTGATAGATTGGCCTTCTGCTGCATTGCTTTATCCCATCAATCTTACAATCTTCAGAAAATTTAAACCAAAACAATAAAAGGAAAATTTACTAACAAGTAGAAAACTTTATGAATAATCATTAGTAAATAATTAACTGCACAACACACTGGGAATATAACAAATGCAATTCACATGACCCAATTAACTGGTGATTATGATTATGATGAATATGATTAACATTTGATTGACAAATGTTTTCGTAATCCCTTCTGGGTTCTTCAGGCTGTTTTTAATTTAAAATGGGCTGGCAGAAATATTGAGAGATAAATAGGAAGATGATAAGGAGAGGATTTCCCTCACTTTTAAATCCCATTTAAAATCATTGTATACCACAATTGCCAAGAGACATCAGGTCAATATTACCTACAGGAGATGCCCCTCCATTTTCAACATATTGCGTAATGGAAAAGACACCACTAACCCCAACAGACTACCTGACATCTATAGCATCCTTATCAGAGACAACAGATGGGATAGGGAAATGGTGTAAGTTGGCTCCACTAAATATTCAATGGGGGTCAGGATATGGAAACATAAATCTGATATACAACATAGTAGGAGTACTACCGCACTTTTCACCTATGTGATAGACCTGGATATTATGGCAGACTACCTCGGAGCCTGAATTATCCTTACCACCATGCACCCGAACATCCCAAATGGTTGGAGGCAATCAAAATTTTTAAGGCTTGCTGCAGAATCACCTGCATTAATTTTAGGGAAGAGATGTATCTTTCAAGGGTATGGCAGGCTTTACTAGATTTAATTTTCAATCATATTTAAAGGGGAACACATGTGCAGAGGTTTTCTGCATTCGAACTCATCATATTGTTCGATTATATTTAAATGTCTTATGAGGAACACATGCGCATATGGTATTCAAAATCTCTTAATATTCTAATATAAAATCAAATGGTAACTTCCAACCTGTTTTGAATTAAAAAGAAGCCTGAAGAAGAGCCAAAAAAGGGGTTACGAAAATGTTTGTCAATCAAATTTAATTGTATTTGCACCAGTTAATTGGTTCATGTGAATTGCATTTGTCATCAGTAAATAAGCACAAACTTTAGACTATAACAGTGAAATATTATTGAAATATTACAAGTTATTTTTATTCATTCAATATATTATGCAATAAAAAATCTTGTTTTTCTTTTTAATCTATTGAAACAAATTAATATTTTCAAATATTTGTGCAGAATTAATTAAAATACTTGCAAACAATACAGTAAATAATTAATAAGTAATTAGCATTCTATAGTAGACAGTAACAGTAAAAAACTTTTATACTATGATGTATCATGTTTAAAATATTTAAGATTTAACAGAATTGTCTCAAAAACACTTTAGTTTAACTTATAATTATTTCCAAAACTTATAAATTTTATGAATTTATTTACATAACATAAGAATTAGAAATTAACAAGGAGACAGCCAGACATTTGGATCTCCAATATGAATGAAAGTTGGTGAGCATGGAGCCTTAAACACAAATTTGGCACTTTTTAAAGCCAAAATAAAAATTTTATTTAATGACACAAAGGAATTAAATCTCAGAAACTGTTTTCACTAAACAGATGTCATAATTTTTAATCTCGTTTTATAAGCTTTTAAATGTGAGGAATAAGAATAGTAATAATAATTCTAATGATTCAACAAAATAATAAAATAACTATGTTACATATTTAAAAAAAAAAAAAAAACTAAAGTCACGAAGGACTGAATCCATACTGTGTTGCTCCAGCATCTAGAACCTTATCCACTCGTCTACTGCCATTCTGAATATTGATAGAACTTCTAGACTTACAGCTAATTACTCAGTTTTCAGATGTCTGTTTTTTTGGAAACACTTGAGAAGTGGGTCCTGTTATTTGGGCAAGGAACTATTTGTGTTTGGGGCTACGTGCTCATCAATTTTCATTCAAATCAGAGATGCAAACATCTGGCTGTCTTCTTGTAAGACAAAAACTTTTAAAAGTATAAATGTTAAACTAGATTGTGATAGATTTTAAATAATTTTAACACTTGTGACAGCTAAGATTTAATTTTTTAATTTTCTAACATTTTCAAAAATAAATGAATGTACAGTATTTGTTCTAGGTACAATATCTTCTGAAGTAGTACATTTAGAAAATGATGCTAAGGTAGCAATGTCAGCAATAAATTCAGATACAGATGAACCACTTTCAAAACATCTTCATTTAGAGCAAGATGGTCCTACATTTATTTTAACTTTACCAGGTTTGTAATTTTCTTTATCATGATGCTATTTTTTAAATAAAGAACTGTGCAATAAATTCTTAAATATTATTATTTCTGTTGTACAGAGTAATAAAAATTAATTATAATTTGTTTAAAAAATTAATTTTCTATTTGAATTACTTTTAATAATTCACTTATTTAATTATCAAATAGGATAATTAAATAAGTGAATTATTAAAAGTAATTCAAATAGAAAATTAATTTTAATAGTACACTGTTTATATATACAGTACTTATCATAAAGAGATATTCTTTAGATAATTTCCTACTTGATTGTATAAAAAAATAAGAATATTTACAGTAATAAAATACAACCGGTTTGAACAGTTAACAAACACTATGTCAACACATTGTTAATTGTTCAACTGATTACATATTAATAAGTGTTATGATTTTTATTTTTCACTCATTCAAAGAAAAAAGAGACACATTTTTGAATTTGAATTTAGAAGAATCAAAGAGGAGAATGCAATGGAGGAGAAAATGTTAGAGAGAAAAATGAAAACAAAAAGAAATGTTCTAATTTTAATTTGTTTAATAAATAGCTTACAATAATTAACCAAATTACATCTAAATTATAAATTTTAGATACATATTTTGTATGTTTGCAAAAACTTCAAACAAAAAAAAGTATTAGTTTTTAGATTTGGAGTTGAATAAGTAGTCTTTGGCATATTGTCATTTGATGTAAAAAATGATTTGAAATAACTTGATCTATTATCAAGATTTATTTCAATCATGTTACTTCAATATTATTCCTTTATAAAGTATGATGGTGCATATAGACATATATGGTATTATCCAATATTAGATCAATAATGAAAGCATTTTCAGGATCTTGAAAATTTTTAATGACTAATGAAATTTTATTTTTTTTACAATTATTATATTACTAGCAGACCCCGCCACGCCTTGTTGTGGCTCAAAATGTATCTATTATAAATGTATAACACTTCCCCCGTGGGGGAAAATTTTTCAAAAAATTATTTCTTAGTGTACATTCTCTTGACGTACCCTATTAAAATGCAATCAAAAGCACAAAAACCCGCATCTAAAATAGTATAATAGAAGCAGAGTTCTTTACGGTAAGCCTTACGGGGAAGGCTTACCGTAAAGAACTGTCCATCCCCCATGTTTAATGGAATAATATACAGCCTATGTCCATCCTGAAGTTCCATTCTAAATATTGGTGAAAAAATTTTTGAAATCGGATGAGTAGTTTTGGAGATTACCCGCTACATCCAAACTAACATACATACAAACATTACCTCTTTATTATATTAGTATAGATAATCTGTGAAATTTAGTGTTGAGATTCAAATCTTGTTGTTTCCAGGTGGTGCTGTACAACCACTTTGTTTAGACCTCTCTCTCTTTTTCCTTTCAGTTACACTAAGGACAGTGGTAGATTCAACTGTACATCTCGTGCCTTTGTTTGTAGTCTATATAATGGAGAAATTTCTTTTATGATATAGTGTGGAAAGCAAATGACTGTTTTGTACTTTAGACCTTTTGGATATAGGACATAAACTATGAATAAAATGCTAAACAAAAACAAATGTGTGCTACTTGGTTACTCAATGGGAAATAAAGCTTATAGAGAGTGGTGACTTACCAAAGAAAAGAAAGTATGTGTCACTCACAATATAAAATTTGTAAATGAAGCCAAATTGAAAGGTTTTGAGAGTAATAAAGACAGTGACCATGATGAGTCAGACATAAGAACATTAGAATACATCCTATCTGATGAGAATCAAAAAATGAACATCCAACTGTAGAAATGGAGCATATAGAGGCTGACAGCCAGGAACAGGAAGAAGTAACATGGCAACACACAGAAGTAGAGGGAAGGCCAAAATAGTCAGATCAGGCAATAGAGGAAGACTGTGTAAAGAATACGAGGTCTGTTCAAAAAATATCGGACTTTTATTTTTTCCGCATAAACCAATGATGCGCGGGAGGCCTCTTTCGGTGGAGTTGTGGAGGAGACAGTCATGCACAACCCTGAATTCTTTCCTGCACAAAAGGAAGCGTCAGTCACTGGCAGTCGGCCTATGAGTGAGAACGTGTAGTGAGCTATCGTCGGATTCCACTAAGTTGGAAAATGACTGAACAACGTGAGCAGCGATATTACATCAAATTTTGCCAAAAATCTTGGCGATACACAAGCGTAAACCATTTACAAGATTCAGCAGGCTTTCAGGAACAATCCTTGAGGCCAAAAAAGCGCGGCAGGTCCGCGGCAATATCAAGGTCATGTTGACAGTTTTTTCGACTCTTGTGGGGTGGTGTATTGTGAGTATGCACCACAAGGCCGAACCATCGCAAAGGAGTACTACTAGGAGGTCCTTTGTCGTCTTTCCGATGCTGTGCGACGCAAACCACCGGATCTGTGATAGATAGAAAGGATGAACTGAATTATGTATATAACTTAGCCAGAAAGTACGGGATTAATCTTAAAGCTATTATCAACAAGAATAATAGGAGCCTTAAGAGGAGAAATTTACCTCATAATGAAGGAGTTTTAACGATGGAATATAATGCGTCGTTGAATAATATTTTCCGACGCATCGGAAAGGCCCAGAACAAAAGAATCATATATAAAAGAACCCACACCACGTACCAACTACTGCGATCTGATAAAGATTTAGTGGACAGAAGAACACTCCCCGGGGTATATAAAATTCCAGTTACGGACTCAAGGCGACGAAGTAAATTAATATATGTAGGGGCAACAGGAAGAAGTATCAAAGACAGGTTAGCAGAACATCAAGCAAATATAAGAAAAAAACAACCTTGCACTGCGCTAGCCACCTACGTTCTAGCGGACCAGCAAGACGTCAATGTTGAATGGGACCAAGCAAGACTAATGCAGATAGTTCGAGACAGGAGACACCGACATTACGCGGAAGCCTGGCAGATTTGTAAGGCAAAGCATAAAGGCCTTGCAATCAACTTCCGGGAATCGACTAAAATATCAGCAGCATGGTCCTCTAGCTTAATATAAAATTAATAATTGAAGAAA